CACACCCTAAACCTAAGGTAGGTTCACAACAAAAAATACAGGATATTTTATGTTTGATGAAAGTTTCTGAAACATGGAGTCAAACACAATCCGGGTTCCCCAGGACACTGACGGCATAAAAATAGCGACGCTTTTCGTATTTTTTGTGTTTGCCAACAGTATTTACATCTACGTCGCATTGTATTCCCACTTGGATCTTTAGGAGAATATTCTGGCAAATGAATTAGTGCCGGCTGCCTAGGAATTTCTTCTGATATGGATCCTATTAATTTAGTTATAACCGATAACCTGAAGTCATAAAGATTCATCTTAGTCGGTGCATCTTTATTATGCAAAATGTATGCATTTACCAACATAATTTGAACAATATGTATGCCCAGCTTTTTATACCATCGAAGTGTGGATTTGAGAGAGTAAGTGAAATACATTAGTTCAGCTAACGATAAGTAAAAGGATTAACAACGATTTTTTAAAATAGCTGAGAGGACTTTGTTTCTGTCTTACCGTTTCAATCAGTTCTAATTTTTCAATAGACGTATCTGAACGATTAATTTTCCTATTCTGAAGAGACTAGATAACTTAGTAATTGTAGTCAGAAACACCGAAGAGAATAGGAAGAGAATAATCACAGTAAATATTGAGAAGAACTCAACAGTTGTTGGACAAATTTGTTGTCAAGTTGTCATTAGTCACTTTTTACTACTTTCTATCCAAATGTGGATTGATCACTTAATGAGTTTCGTTAACAACTGACCGCATATCTCTGGTTGGTGAGGCCGATGAATGATGGAAAAAGGAAGAATTGTGTTTTTCTTGAATGCTGACACAAAACAGCCTGTTTGTGAATGCTGATAATAAAAGTTGTTTTCATGTAGTATATATAATAAACATATTAAAAATAGAGAATAGATGATGGCTGCTCTAACAGGAAAGGGTGAATATATTTAATTGAATTGATTTTTCCCATAATGCTCCCGAAGGTTGGAATTATGTTGCAGGCGTTCCAGAAACTGAAGAGCAGCAGAAATATAGGTTCCAGGTGGAACTGGAGTTTGTTCAATGTTTGGGAAATCCTAATTACCTGAATTGTAAGTAACTTGATATTTGTTGCTGATTTTATATATTTTTCCTTCAGTTTTAGCACAGAGAGGTTATTTCAAAGACAACACTTTCGTCAACTACTTGAGATATTTACTGTACTGGAAAGAACCTGAATATGCGAAGTTCCTGAAATACCCAATGTGTTTATATTTCCTAGATTTGCTTCAATATGAACACTTTCGAAGAGAACTGGTAAACGCTCAGTGTTCAAAATTCATAGACGACCAACAAATTTTGTTGTGGCAGCATTATACAAGAAGACGAAGTAGATTGTTGACAACACCTACTTCAAATGGAAATATGGAGCAAAATCTCAATAATCAAATCAGTCAAAGTAACGGGCTTGTAAATTCAAAAATATCATAACTTGTGAGCAAAAATATTATCTTTGAATGGTATAATAGTTGGGTCATAGACAAATTTTTTTAGATAATTGCACAATTTGGAACATATATGCTTCCCTTTTTACATTAACAAGGGTTCTATAATTTTCAATCCAAGAATTCCTTAAAAAGAATTTCAGGCTGTGCATTCATCAACCAACAAAGGATCCAATGTTCTAATTCGTGAAATACTTTCTTCAATTGTGCTGAATGAAAAAATTATGGATCTCACCTCTTGAAGTTTTGGAGTTTTTTTGTCAATGGAGCATATCTGATCCTGGCAAGAATAATCTCGCAACTCAAAATTTATTTAAAATAGGGTCCTTACATTATATAATGAAAGTCCA